AACACTGCAAACAGCAGCACACCTCTGATATCACCGCGTCCAACGATAGCACAGTTGATTCCATATCAATCTCGTAACTGCAGCACAACTCCACGATAACCAGCCATTGCACCAAATATAATACACCTACAAAGGCGCAATTGTCCTACCAATAAAATCCTACCAACAACGCCTTACTACGCCGTCCATGGCCCCATAAATCCCAACACGCGACACCACGAAAAGAAGAACCCGCCCTCATGCCGACAAACATAGGCTCATCGCAAAAGCCCCCCGGCCCCAAATACCAAGTCCTCACACCAGAAGCCGCGAAATTCCGATCACAATTCGGATCATCACCGTCCCCAACCCAACCTCCATCCTCCACCGCAGCACCACCACCCCCCACTCAACCCGCCCCAGAACCATCTCGCAAGCCATTCTCCCTCTTCTCTCACTTCCGAAGTCGCTATGCGACGCTCCCCGTTCCAGTCCGCACAGGCTTTCGCGTTCTTCGCATATTAGCGCCCATTGTTCCGATTGGGCTCTTCTTCTCTGAACATGTCCTGGGGGTCATGTGGGTTAGCGGGCCGTCAATGACGCCCTACCTCAACGAGGACTACGAGCAGATGCATACGAAGCGCGATATGGTACTTGTGAATATGTGGCCGTGGGGCGGGGCCGGGTGGCCTTGGGAGCGGACGAGGAGGTTGGAGAGGGGGATGGTTGTCACGTTTCGGTATGTTTTCTGCTCGAAATTTCTATAGGGGGGTTTTTTTTGTTGGGAGGGTGGTCATTGACTGTTATTTTTTTCTTTGCTAGGTCGCCAGCCAATCCGGGCCATATTGCTATTAAACGTGTGGTTGGGCTTCCCGGGGATCGGATCACAACTCGCGATCCCTGTATGAAGCCCTCGCAGATTGTGCCGTTCAATCATGTTTGGTTGGAGGGTGATGCGGCGGATCCGAAGAGGTCGCTTGATAGTAATACTTATGGGCCTGTGAGTATTAGTCTGATCACGGGAAGGGTGATGGCTGTGATGTATCCGCGGTTTAGGATGCTTAAATGGACGGACTGGGAGCAGGGACTTGTCGAGGGTGATGATGAGCGGAAGTTAGGGGATAATTATCGTCATGAGGTAAGGGATCGTGTGTCGAAGGAAGCGGTCAAGTTAGAGCGACCTGTTCTATCATAAGAGGCTTCTACTTCTTGCCATTATGGGTATATGCTGTACTGTACATAGAGCTTTTGTATTATTATAAAGACACATGTATGAATACGTAGAAGATGCAGGAAACCTATATAAGGCAGTGAGCGTAGGAAGCACGCAATGAGTTGAGCAACAGGCCCAATATGTCGGACTAGAAGTTGTGGTTCATCCGGTGAACTCAGGTATTTGACTTGGCTAACCGTTTGTTGCAATTACGCGAACATCTTCCGGTTTGCTTTCTTGCAGCCGATCAATCTCGGATGCAATGCTCATGACCCAGCGGTCTTTGTCTACCCGGCTCCGTGCTTTAAATACGGCAGTTCGCCCATGAACACCTAGCTTGGAAACTTGCTTCAGCGTCTGCTTTGTTTGGCCTTTCTCCCCTTGCTCAAGTGCTCGAAAGAGGTTCTTGCGCAAAGGATGCCAAACCACGAAGGTAATGGCCATGTCTTCATCACTGCTCGTATAAGCGTCCGTAGAAAGATAAGCCCGGGGCAGGGTGCGATGGCTTGGGCGATTGCTATCGAAAGTTTGGTTGGTGTAGAGCAGATCAGACTCTGTCAACAGCCCCGAGTAAACGTAGCAGTCGCTTAGATCTATAGTTGCTTCAAGGCTAGAATGGACATGAGGGATCTCAGCACCGTTACGCTTTCTCAACGAGTTTCGGAAAATCAACAATTTCCCGTCAGTAAGAATAACGTTACATCGCTTGAATGTTGAGTGCCGCCGGGGTTTTCGAAAGAGTTGGCCGGACATCTGGGAAATATTAGCACCATTGATTACCCGAAAAGTGCATATGTGACCTACCTTGATCGCGCGACATCCGGTCAAAGCACACATATTGTGTAACAAAGGTGACGCTTCTGCCATCCTAACCTCCCACTTTCTGGCGAATTGCCCGACAATAGACTCCATCTCTTCGTCGATATCCAGTATTTCTAGGTTGCGCTGCCGCAAGATTTTGAGCTCCGCCGCATCAGCTGCACACCGTGCTTTCCAGTATTTCACAAGGGCATCAAGTCTCTTCATCCATTCCTTCTTAGTCCCCTCATCGTACGCCTGGAACCGGACAATAAGGTCATTATTCAGAAGCATCTCAAATGTTCTATCGTCGTCGAACTTCTGGGTTGCACCATCATCTCGCCGAGTGTCTCTTGCTTCAGGGTTGAACTCAACATCTGGGCCTTCCCGGATATTTCGGTCGGCAGGGCAACTGTCACGGTGCACATCACGCACTTCCTGCACTTGGCAGATATCGATGTAGCCATCAGCATTAGTCAGATTGTGGAGGTTCCTGCGAAGCTGTGCAAATGCTTCCTCGTCATGTCTCTTGATGTGCTCCTTATTGCCACTTGAGAGCCAAGTTATCTCTCCGTCCTGTAGTGGAAACGGATCAACATCATATGAAAGTGGCATTTCATTCAGAATGTCTTGTGTTGATGGAATATTCGAATCATCTGCATAAAGTCTCGGGGGAGCCGGCGGCAGGGACTTCGCGGGTCTGCAGAAAAACAAGTAATGGTCTTGAGTGAAACAGTACAGGCGCTTGAAGAACATTTTGTTCATGCGTTGATGCACACCTCTTTGCGATGTAAGGCGAATCAGGAAGCCCTCTACTGGCTCTGGCTCTTCGTCTCTCTTGTCGTCATTATGCACATGTGTACGATAATGTTGTCGCGGTCGTAGCTCGAGCTCGTGAGTTCTTTGCATTGCCAGGGTTCCGTACATTCTTTCCTCATTGATGCCGTGGACCCATTCCAAACGGTCGTATCGCTTCCAAGCAAGGCCCATTCTTTCAGTTTTAGACCATTTATGCAATACATCGGTCCATTCAGGATGTTTATCCAACAATTCAAAGCAACCACGTATAATGATCTCTGCGGCGGCGGCTTTCGGCGGTGCAGAATGAGCAAGTATCCCATTTCTCTCATTCGCCTCGAGACGCGCTTCCAACTGCTCAAAAGGGTTTTCAAATGTAAGTGATACCCCAAGGTCAGGTACGTTAATCGAAAGTGAAGACGCCCGGCGTCGTCCTAACGCATAACCTAGAGATGTGTACCATTCAACAGCGTGCGCTGTAGATTTAGGCCGTATGATGTAAATCTTTGTGCCACGCTTGCAGGGACCCCAGATCACAATAGTCTTATCCAGAGAAGAGTACAGGTTCAACTTTGCCTTCCTGCGACCTAATGAGATCGCATGATAAGGTTTCGCTTTAGTGTTGTATCTCTGTATCTCGGGGATAACACGCGTCTTGTACATCTGGAGAGTAAATGGCGCTTCCTCATCGGACGTCGCTCTAAAAACCACTAAGAATTCCCTCCAATTATCGGCAACCCTAGTTTCCATCCTCCAACTGTCGTTTTCACCGTAGTCTTCGGGGAGTTCATGTTCCGTCTCCTCGATTCGAACAAGCATCCTTTCAGCCTTGATAATCTCGCCTGCTTTTACTTTGTGTCGACGGGACAAAGTTCCTGAGACCATATTATGTGCACTCGAAATCCGAGATCGAAGTCGTTGCTGTCTATGTAGAAGATGATCGTTGTATTTAATGGCTCGCTTGTGGAAGCGAAGCCGTTCATCGCCCAGGTCTTCGGTACTCTCAACTTCCTGAGTTTCGGGGTCAGGTGTTGAGAGTGCTCTAGTAACTCGTCCTTTACCTTTGAGAAGTGAACTAGATCTTAGCAACGGGGTCGTAGATCCAAGTTCACTTTGCGATGCCATGGTGCTTGACTGACTGGCCTCATACTGACTCATGGTCCTTGATGTTGGTTTGCTCAGTGGTCTTATGGTCTCCCCACTGCTGTGGTCATCCGAGGCCTGCCCCACGCTATCTGGACTGGGGGCAATCTCCCTTGCTGTCATATAAGATTGCGCATCTGTTCCTGTACTAGCTGGAGTCCGGTTATGCCTCTCTGGGACCAACATTGAGGGGCCTGGTGGGTCAGAGGTATGGGAGGAGGGTAATTCAGTGGTTTCCCCTAGTGGTTCACTTAAGGTTCTGAGGGCCCTACTACCACTAGCCTCCTGCTCACTGGAGTCCTCTTCTTGTTCACCCTCTGTGGTATTCTCTGGCTCATCGTGCTTTGTCTGTTCTGGAGATAGCTCAATTCGCCCCGGGTCCTCTGTGTACTGTGCAACATCGGTCTCCGCCCGAAAAGTAACGGTTTTGGAGGAGTAATTCTTGAATCTAAGTCGCGTTTTATACCATGACTTGCGGTGGTTTTGCAGCCAGCCTTTGGGGATTGGCCCTATGAAGAATCGTCTGCTCGTTATATGGACGTGGTTGGCTGAAGCATAACGCTTTAGCGGCGATTAGTTTTCCTGACAGTGTATACAATGATAATACCCTTACCAACTTCTCAGCTGTGTAGAAATCCGGTTCCAGACCATGGTGGTGGTCATCAAATGCGGTGTGAAGGTCGGTCTCCATTGTGTCGCCAGCATGCTGAGCTAGGGGGTCATGAGTGCTCATTGCACGTTTCCACAACCACCAGACGTGAATATAAGGAGAGAGGTTTTATATAGCATTAGAAGAATAAGTTTGATTAGCCCCGGACCTATCACGATCCACAGAGGGGATGTGCAATCAGGAACCGATCGATCAGCGCCAGGTCTAAAGGTGGATTTCTGGCGATGACGTCGTTGTTCTTTGGCCCTGGTCACAGCTTTGCTTTGTTTGGGCTGTTTGATTCGTTTGCAGATGCAAATCAGGGGGCCAGGGTCTGGACCCGCTGATTGGCCTGGCCGCTTGCGTGGCCATTGTCCCGCTAACGGCGGTGTGACAGTTAAACATAACAGCTGGTGTGCCCCTCAACTGTCTCCTTTCTCTCTATTCTACTCAGCTATTTCTTTACTCTTTTCTCTCATCCCCTTATCCTCGTACATTACAATTCAAAATGGCTTCCCAGACCTGGTTTGATGGCCTCAAGAGGTCCTTTGCCGATGTTCCCGTTGGCGCAGACAAGTCCATCTCTACCACCGAGTTCCTCGAAGCCTCCGAATCCCTGACTACTTTGTTCGGTACGTAATTGAACTGAATTGATCATATAACCTGTTCAGTCCTGACGATATATAGATGTGCTCGGCTCCGCAGCATTCACTCCCGTCAAGAACGACCTCCTTGGAAATGTCAAGGTTCGGAACTTTCTACCCCATGTTCAAACTGCATGAAAATCTAACTTCGGTATAGAAACTCAAAGACCGGCAGCTGGCTGCCCCTGCTGAGTCTGAGACTGTTCAGTCTCTCTCTGTGAATGAGCTGAAGACCAAGAAACACACTGCGTCTGAAGGTCTGCTCTGGCTTGTTAGGTATGGACTGATTGTTACTCTCCGGTGGCTATTAGGGGTCGAACGTCTCCACTTATAGATGTTTCGAATATATGACATGGTCATACTTGTTTAATTAACTAACCACGTCAACTTTAAATAGGGGTCTTGACTTCACTACCCAATCCCTCCGCCGCCACGTCGACAACACTTCCGAGAAGCTCGCCGACTCCTTCCGCGGAGCCTACAAAGAAACCCTCAGCAAGCACCACGGTTGGGCTATAAAGCCGGTCTTCAACCTGGCCATGGGTGCTGCCCCTGACAACAAGACCTTCTACAAGTCCCTGGCCTCCAGTACCGCCGATGTCTCCGCCGAAACCGAGGCGAAGATCCAGGAGCAGTTGACCCGCGAGGTGAAGGCTCTGGAGAACATCGTTTCCATTCTTCAGAAGTTCCAGGAGCAGCCTGATGCCAAGTGGAAAAGCTAAAGATGGCCACTGGTATTTTTTCCATTCATCCACAACCTATTTCTAGTGCATAATATTTCATCACATGATGCTCTACTACATGTATATAGGTGACTATACATACCTGATTTCAGAAGCGAGCAGGACCTCTATTCAGGACACAGTTGCTTTATAAAAGGGCTCATCACATCATTTAAAGTTATTAGACAATCATACATATTATGTTGCTGTGCTGGCTTGCCTTTTAGTTTCTTGGTCACCATTGTGACTTAACGGATCTAAACAGACGGCTTGTGTCTTGCGATGATTCCATGCATAAGCCCTAGAATAGACGCTGTATTCCCGTATAACGGACAACGATATGTGGTGGCTGCCACACAAACTTGCAAGGAGTACCCGGATACTGGAGTTATCTTTGAGCAATGACCATTTGTAACTAGCAAATGGAAACTTCCGTAACCACAAGATCAGAGTCCTACCACATCTCACTGCCTACCTTCAGCATCATCGGTGGGGTAGTTTGACACATCGGAATAGCACGATTTCGTGTCTAGTCCCTGCATTCCAATTTGTTCTTGGAGCATGGCCGACAGCCGCCCTTGTGGGACAGCGTAGTGGACGCGTGAATAACGGGTTTCATTATGTATCTATCAGTTGTTCAACGGAATGGTGGCAGTCATTGATCGAAGTTGAGTGTTTATATGAGGGGCAAAAGTTGATAATGGTGCAACATTGTGGGTCTTCAAAAGAAGATCTAGTAGATATAGATAGCCCCCGTTCTTGGAGGTGCTGACACTGACAGGCATTGCTTGTCGAGCACTGGCCGCAAAAGGCAGTGTGGACCAGCATACCGAACAAAATATGCAATATACAAAAATGACCTCAGCAATGCTTCAACAGATGACTTCTCTCGACGGTCTGATTTAATGAGTTTTGTAGCGCACCGACTGGAAGAAGGTTGGATAAGAAATCCTTATCTCTCCGTGATAAGAGTTTAGGTGCGATGCCAGTTCACTGTAGGTCGGTTTCACATAAACAATTTGCTATGTTGCTTCCAACTAAAAATATCCCACGGACGTGACACCCGCGCACGTTTTTAACTGACAATATCCATAGAAAAGGACCCCAGCCTTATGCATGTCAAGCAAGATCGTGATACGATGTCTGTGTCAGAGTGAGATAGCCTGAAACATTTTTTCCAGCCCAACGTGCGCTGTCGAGAGGAAGCTAAGCTCGCCCCTCAAAGTTCAAGCGCTTGTTCTCCGGACTTGTTGCCGGTTTGAATACCGAAAGCCGGCTCTTCTCTTCGGTGTAAGGTTAGACTTTCGCGATAGTTGAATTTAAATGATAGTATTAGCTACGTATCGGGTTTAGATTGCCACACCAGGATTTGATCAACATAGCACCGTCTACAAGCAATTGTTGCCCTCTCCTTACAGGATCCATTACACCACGGAAAAAGGTACCTAAACCAACATTACCCGCTGCGGCAGTTGAACGAGAGAAGCTAAGAAAAAGGGGGAAGACAGATGCCGCTTCCGGCAGTGGATTTGCACTAATAATTACCCAAATAGCATAATTGATATGCATTTCACGCCTTACGAAAGTAGTGCCTTGGTTGATGAAACAAACCGCTGCGGTTTCGAAATGGGCCACTACGAGGCCTCTCGCCAAATATAACGAATAGTGATCTTGCTTGACAGGGCACTAGATCGGGCTTCTCCACAGGATGTCTTCGAGGTCCGGGGAGGAGAAATATTCTAGCTTGTGCTCGCATCTAGTGAAGGGCCTACCTATTTCTATACGTAGTAGATACGTATATCTCCGTACATAATACCTACTAGTATATAGTAATATACATATGTATGCAAAAGTGGTAGGGCGAATGAAAGGGTGTCAATGTGCTTGCAGCGTCACGCTTCTGCCCTATTTTAATCTTATTATGCACAGCATAAGGCAATGACGCAGGCGAAGGACGTGCTAAACATATCCCATCGGCAAAGCAGATAAATTACTGTGGATTCCCGGATGCCACTCCTGTGGGGTGGGATCCAGACCCTACGAACTTAGGGCTAAGCCGCTAAGGCCCAAATTGGTTGAACTCCCAGTATGCCCGTTACTTTGAATGTAACCTATCGTCGCGGTGTCGCTTTTTAGGGATTAGTCAACATGTGCACGAGTCGCCATGCCGTTGTGGGTAAAATAATGCAAGTGTATGCGCATATAGGGTTCTAAATGAGTCAGTGAGAGTTAATTCTAAACTCATGGACAATCAGACGGGATATCCTCGAAAGAAAAACAAGGTTTAGAGAATAGTCTAGAAACTAGTGATCCTCACGCACTGCTTAGCGATGGTGATAGACGCGCTGGAGGCTAAAAAGGGGTAGTTAGCGGTTTATGGCTGGTTTTCGGTGTGCTGATCCAAATGATGGAAGAATCTTAGTAGCCATTGCTTCGACCAACTTGCTGCAAGTCGTGAATTCTATCATGTCGATCATAAGATGGGATCAATTACGGAGTACTCAGTCTGTTTTCCCATCTGGATCTCCGATCAGCACTTGATGCTAGGGTACCACGCACAAAAGAGTTTCATTCTCGTATTCGATCTCCAAGAAGAGACGACTGGGGTTACGCATGTGATGATGATCCTTCAGAATGTAAGAATCTAGAGGGGTACTATTTAACTTACCCTACTCCATAAGTTAAATGTTCCTGACATCTTCGACCAAAACCTATAACTCGTTAGGCGGTATATTAATTAAATACCATTACAATTATAGCAAGCGGGTAGGATCGTGAACCATGGATTGTTCACCCACTCTACCCTATAGCACGGTCTGGAATGTGCATAGCTTATTTAGCTCTGGTAAAAAAGAAAAGAAAAAGAAAAAGTTTAAGGGAAATGGATTTGGTGGCTCTTCTAACTAGCCTCACTTGGCAGATGGGCTCCTTAGGTAATTTCTGTCAGTAGTTAACCTACATTTCTTCAAGGCCAATGGTAGCCCATGTGATTATTATAAGCACGTCCCGTTCATATTTTCAAGGAACATTCTGCAAAGCACATTAGTACATTATCGGATGCCAACGTCTCTTTATAGTCTATTCATAATTGAGGTTTGGAGAGGTTCTTGAGATTCCTGGCGAACTGTTTGTTACATTGTCGGGCCGGAGCGGACATTACGATGGCTATGGCTCCGCTCAAAGTCCGTGTTTGCCTCCACTGATGAACCCCTTCACCTTCGATGTTAGGTAATTACAACCCGTCCGTGTCCTCGTCTCTCCACTTATTCCATCGTCGGAACTATGGACCGTCACAGGCAGAAATCCACTCTAGTACCGTGGTCGACGCCCATAATTCTTGTCCAAGATAGAAGAACCTTAGTCGACTATTTCGTATTGCTTCTTCTCACTTTTAGTCTGGTCAGCACAGGGACCGGTTTTGTACATACATAGTAGTAGTACATCGTGCATCTTGACCCCTGCGTCTTAGGGCAAAAAAATTAAGAACTAGTAGACAATAGACCAGCCGAGGTCATCCTGGTAGTTCCGCACATGCCCTTGCTTAGTAGGCTCGCTTCCCAATAGCGTAAGCCCGGTTATGAGGCACGTTAAAGTTCTACTCTACGGCGCGCTGCTTTTCGAGCCACATAAAACGAAAATGTCAATGACACTATCCCCACACACCCAACGAAGTGGCACCTGGAGTTGGCTCCAGTCGGCACTTTCGATGCAACTAACTCCCTGGAGTCGCATGCTTGCCACTGCAACTGTAAAAGTGTAATTGTCAAGCGTATTTTTTTAGCGCAAAGGCCCATTCTCCTTCCCCCCCTATAATGTTTGGTATCCCGCAGTTGGAAGGATGATATCTTGAATTGCATCTAATTTTTGTGGTTCTCTTTTCCCGCTCCTCCTAGGGGATGTCCTTGGCTTTCTAGATTATGCATCCTGCTTGATCTAATCAAGCTCTTTTGCTTCACGATGGTAGAATTCAAGGGCCGCAGCGAACAAATCTTTGTCGTCACCATCATTTTTCTGGGAATTTCCTTCATCTCCGTCTGTCTACGATGTTTTGTCCGGCTGAAGTTGGTAAAAGCCTTCGGGTGGGATGATATTTTCATGGTGTTCGCAATGGTATGTGGTTGTCTTACCGGTATCCGTAGTAGGTATTGTCGAAGCGAACTAATTCAATCGCAGGCCTTGAATATATTGTTCGCATTATGCGGTATAACAGGGGCGGTTTATGGTATAGGTCGAAAGATGGTAGACCTTGAGCCTCAACATATTGAAGCCGCGTTGTTTGTGCGTGTACCCCAAGCGATCCCAAATTGACATTCTGCGTATTCTTTGACTTACGCACTTCGATACAGTGGTGGTGGCTCGGCCAGACAAGCTATGTCTTCACATGTGTTATTGCCAAGATTTCTATCGCACTAGCACTTCTTCGCCTCACGGTCGCCAAACTCCATACGATACTCCTCTGGGTCGTCATTGGCGTCTCAACTGTTGTGGGCCTTGTATTTTGGTTCATGTTGACATTGCAATGCCACCCGGTGCAGTATTTCTGGCAGCGGCTGAGGCCGGGAGCTTCTGGAACTTGTATGAATACCGACCACCTCATTGAGATCGCCTACGTTTACAGTGTCTTCGCCACGATCTGCGACTTTATCCTGGGTCTGTTGCCCATCGCCCTGGTGTGGAACCTGCAAATGAACACGAAGACAAAGGCTGCTTTGGCTGGTATTTTAAGCTTGGGTTGCATGTAAGTGTGAAATTGCCATATGTGCATACTTTTGCCTTTGGTTCTATTGCTGATTGTCTGGGACTTAGTGCGAGTGCTGCCGTTATAGTCCGTATTCCTTACCTTCATCACTATAAAGACAAGGAATTCCTCTGTGAGATCTCACTGATATCCCTGCGCTAAACCGGGAAACACTCCTAGCTAACACACTGGGCTGCTTAGATGCAACAGCCGATATTTCAATCTGGTCAAATGTTGAAGCTGGCCTTGGTATAACGGCAGGAAGTCTCGTCACGCTTCGCCCACTCTTCCGCTGGTTTCGGGGAACTAGCTATGGTGCCACCCATAGTTTAAAAAGAACGACCGGTAGCGTCCCCCTGTCGAGCATGAACGGCAATGGAACGCTGCAATCCAAAAATGAGCGTGCAGCGGCGACAAGATACTGGAGACCAGATATCGAGCCCGAGGACTCGCAGGCGATTGTCACCACAGTCCAGACTTCCCACAGTGGGAACAGCAGCCAGGAGGACCTGAATCCTAAGCAACATCCTATGAACGGTGTCAACGTGCACAAATCATTTTATGTATCATCTGATGAGATGTAAAATATTAATTATAATTCATGAAACGAATTTACTAGAGTTTAGCCCAAAATAAATGGAAAGGAAAAAAAGAAAGAAAAAGTAAAAGAAAAAGAAATCAATACTTCAACTTGGTTGAAATTTATCTTGAAATTTGAAATAGAACCAGTGTACGGAGTATCATGGATGGAAACTGTTGCTGTAATGGATCAATTCAAGGTGATTCGCTACCTGCATCGGATTGGAAAATGTCAGTTCCGTACATGGCACGTGGCGCCAGCCAATCGAAGACGCGCGACGACGGACTTTGAGAGTTAAGCGGCGAAACCTCCGGAAGGAAAATTATAGTGTCGAGGTGGCTTCTTTGCGGCGTTTCTTGACGGCCTTTTGCTTTCGAATCTAAACAACCTGAAGGGATTGGCAGCCTTTCTTCTCTTTTTCCTATGGTCTACTGAATCTCCCATCTCATATTCTAGCCTCGCGTCGTTTGACCCGGGTCGTGGTCATTCGAGTACTCACCATGTTAGTGACGTTCTCTTGTCGCGTGCAATTACAAGACTGACCAGCGTATAGGGCAAAACTCGTAGATGATCCGCAGATCAAATATGCGTCGTTCCATAACCCACTTCCTGTCCAGCTTCACACTTATGTCTGGCCGTTTCTAATCGTCTGGCCTGCATTCTTGTCCATCTACCTCTCTCCTGAGCGCTACGATACGTATATTCAAGGCCAAGAATGGACCTTCGTCTGGCTTACATCGATTATTACGGCTCAATCGCTCCTTTGGTTGATGACGAAATGGAATATCAACATCCAAACATTGTTCACGGCAACCAGTACCAAGTCGATCGATTCTGCACAGCTCATCAAGGTGATCCCCGCGGCCAACGCCGGATCGGCCGAAATATGTCCTCTGATACGCGATTCCATGGGTGGAAAGATCACAATCTCGTTTCTGTTCCAGAAGCGTCGGTTCCTGTATTATCCGGAACGCCGGTGCTTTGGGCCCCTATCATACGTTCTTGATGCCGAACCCAAACCCGCCATCAAGATCTTCCAAGAGAATCAGGGATTAGCGTCCAAGGCCGAAGTAGAGCGCATCCAGCATCACTATGGGGACAACAAGTTTGATATTCCTGTTCCGGGATTCATTGAACTTTTCCAGGAGCATGCTGTGGCGCCTTTCTTCGTCTTCCAGATCTTCTGCGTCGGGTTGTGGATGCTGGATGAATATTGGTACTACTCCCTGTTCACACTCTTCATGCTGGTTGCATTCGAGAGCACCGTAGTTTGGCAGCGCCAACGGACTCTTAGTGAGTTTCGAGGTATGAATATCAAACCTTACGATGTATGGGTGCACCGTGAGAGGAAATGGCAGGAGATCACCAGTGACAAGCTTCTGCCCGGCGATCTGATGTCAGTGAGTCGGACCAAGGAAGATAGCGGAGTGGCCTGTGATATTCTTCTGGTCGAAGGTAGTGTCATTGTCAACGAGGCCATGCTCTCCGGAGAGAGTACCCCACTTCTGAAGGAATCTATCCAACTTAGACCTGGAGACGATTTGATCGAACCGGATGGTCTAGACAAGAATGCCTTTGTGCATGGTGGTACCAAGGTTTTGCAGATCACTCATCCGAACTCTAACTTGGAGGAATCAGAGAAGAGCACGTCGAAGGTTCCTTCTCCCCCTGACAATGGCGCCATCGGTATCGTGGTGAAGACTGGCTTTGAAACCAGTCAAGGTAGCCTCGTACGTACTATGATCTACTCGACAGAGCGCGTCTCGGCCAACAATGTGGAAGCTTTGCTTTTCATTCTGTTCCTTCTCATTTTTGCCATCGCCGCTTCATGGTATGTATGGCAAGAAGGTGTCGCAAAAGACCGCAAGAGGTCGAAGTTGCTTCTTGATTGCGTCCTTATCATCACCAGCGTTGTTCCTCCTGAGCTTCCCATGGAACTCAGCCTTGCTGTCAACACAAGTCTCGCTGCTCTGAGCAAGTTTGCTATTTTCTGCACCGAGCCTTTCCGGATTCCCTTCGCGGGGCGTGTTGATGTCGCTTGCTTCGATAAAACTGGTACATTAACCGGAGAGGATCTCGTCGTCGACGGTATTGCGGGTCTTACTTTGGGTCATGAAGGCGCGAAGGTCGAAAAGGATGGCGCTCATACCGAGCTTGCCAAGGGCGGCAACATCGAAGTGGACACTACTCTTGTCCTTGCGAGCGCCCACGCTCTCGTCAAATTGGATGAAGGAGAAGTCGTTGGTGATCCAATGGAGAAAGCTACTTTACAGTGGCTCGGTTGGACCTTGGGCAAGAACGATACTTTGACTCCCAAGAATGCATCGGCAGCCGATCCTTCCCGTGTTCCTGAATCGGTTCAGGTCAAAAGGCGATTCCAGTTCTCCTCGGCTTTGAAGCGTCAGAGCACAATCGCAACGGTTGTCACTAATGACCGAAAATCATCCAAGAAAAACAAATCAACCTTCGTTGGCGTCAAAGGTGCTCCGGAAACTATCAGATCTATGCTTGTGGACACCCCTCCCAACTATGAAGAGACGTTCAAGTACTTCACTCGTAATGGTGCTCGTGTTCTTGCTCTCGCCTACAAGTATCTTTCTCACGAGGCCGAATTGTCCCAGGGACGCATCAACAACTACACTCGTGAGGAAGTAGAATCTGAACTGATTTTCGCTGGTTTCCTTGTCTTGCAGTGCCCTTTGAAGGAAGATGCCATCAAAGCCGTGCGCATGTTGAATGAGAGCAGCCACCGTGTTGTTATGATCACTGGCGATAATCCATTGACCGCTGTTCACGTTGCGCGCCAAGTTGAGATCGTAGATCGTGAAGTTCTGATTCTCGATGCCCCGGAACACGACACCTCTGGAACAAGGTTGGTCTGGCGGAGTATCGATGACAAGTTCAACCGTGATGTGGATCCTACTCAGAACTTGGACTCTGAGATTTTGAAGACGAAAGACATCTGTATCACTGGCTACGCTTTGGCTAAGTTCAAGGGTCAGAAAGCCTTCTCGGAACTCCTACGTCACACATGGGTATATGCTCGCGTCTCTCCTAAGCAGAAGGAGGACATTCTCCTCGGCCTCAAGGATGCTGGTTATACAACTCTGATGTGTGGTGACGGCACCAATGATGTTGGAGCTCTGAAGCAAGCACATGTTGGCGTTGCTCTTCTGAATGGATCCCCTGAAGATCTTACGAAGATTGCCGAGCACTACCGAACAACAAAGATGAAGGAGATCTACGAGAAGCAGGTCGCCATGATGCAGCGTTTCAACCAGCCATCGCCGCCTGTGCCTTTGCAAATTGCCCACCTGTATCCTCCTGGTCCCAGCAACCCACACTATCAGAAAGCTATGGAAAGGGAAGCGGCAAAGAGAGGATCGGCTGCTGTAGCAAACGCGCAAAATCCAGCGGACGGCATTCCCACGATTACATCGCCTGGTGCGCAAGCACTCCAGCAGTCCAATGCTAACTTGACTCCTCAACAGCAGCGCCAGCAGCAAGCTTCTGCCGCGGCGGCTGGATTGGCAGACAAGCTTACCAGCTCCATGATGGAACAGGAATTGGATGAAAATGAGCCTCCCACGATCAAACTGGGAGACGCATCGGTTGCTGCGCCTTTCACTAGCAAGTTGGCCAATGTTATCGCCATTCCCAATATCCTTCGTCAAGGCCGTTGTACGCTCGTTGCGACAATCCAGATGTACAAAATCCTTGCTCTGAATTGCTTGATCAGTGCCTATAGTCTGAGCGTTATCTACCTCGATGGAATTAAGTTCGGTGACGGTCAGGTGACCATCAGCGGCATGGTGATGAGTGTCTGCTTCCTTTCGATTTCACGCGCAAAGGTAAAACATCACGTAAGCGACATGTCCAATGCGATGCTAACTTGATATTCTAGTCCGTGGAAGGTCTGTCCAAAGAACGCCCTCAGCCTAACATTTTCAACGTGTATATCATTGGCTCGGTGCTTGGGCAGTTTGCGATCCACATTGTGACTCTGATCTATTTGTCGAATTATGTCTATTCAATTGAACCGTACGTCCCTTCGTTTGAACCATGCTGGGGTATCTTGCTGACACTTCCCAGGAGAAAATCCGACATCGATTTGGAGGGAGACTTCGAGCCATCCCTACTCAACAGCGCCATTTACCTACTTCAACTCATTCAACAGATCTCTACCTTCTCTATCAACTACCAGGGCCGTCCTTTCAGAGAGTCCATCCGCGAGAACAAGGCCATGTACTGGGGCTTGGTGGGAGCATCGGCTATGGCCTTCTCTTGCGCCACTGAGTTCATTCCCGAGCTCAACGAAAAGCTGCGCCTCGTCCCGTTCAGTACGGAGTTCAAGCTCACGTTGACTGTCCTGATGATCTTCGACTACGCCGGTTGCTGGGTTATTGAGAATGTACTGAAGACCCTGTTCAGTGATTTCCGCCCGAAGGACATTGCCGTGCGCCGTCCTGACCAGCTCAAGCGGGAAACCGCCCGTAAGGCCAAGGAGGAGCTGGAGAAGTTGTCTGCGCAAGAAGCGCAGAGGAATGTTTAAATTATTTACTCTTCTCTAGATCTTTTTAGGGGGTATGGTGTTTAGATATACTACCGTTGCTGTGAACGGATAGACGTCTTATGCATTGGCATGTATGAGAGAGTATCATGCTGTAAAGTGTTCTATACAATTCAATTATTAGATGAGTATGGTCGATTAAGGTTCAAGATCACGTTCTACTGTGCAAATGGTGTACTGTTGATAAATTTAAGCCAAGCCTTAAGGCTTGGTAGAGTAGTATACTACATGGCTGTTTCTGCCTCAGGCATCACAGGGGGATCCGCACCCCTCCTCGGCCAGGATCAGCTGCCTTACGTGCTACTTTACTCGCATCCCCAAAGCAAGCTCCGCCTCGATCCAGAACTGAAACACCAAAACTGCGCTGCATGCACAGCTGATTGTCCCACTATTCCCTATACTCTTATCTTCTTCTACCCTTCCCGCCCGGATCGCCTTTCTTACCGCTTTCCGCGGAATTTCCCTCCCATGCTCTACTAATCTAAGTCAATATGTCCCGGAGGACGCTGGGTGGAGGTCGTATCCTAGGCAGCGCGAACGCTCTCTCCCCATCGGCTTCAACCCCGTCTCCGCAACCCAAACCGAGGCTCTTATCACCGACCGCCAGCAGCGTTTCCCTCAGCTCTCAGGCCTCTGCCTCCCAATTTTCCTCCGAAACACAAGATCTCACTTCTCGCATCTCTCTTGATAATGTTGGTACCTCGATTCCTGCCGCTCCGGCAGCTGCCGGAGCTCAACTAGCTTGCCCAATCTGCAGTGAGGAGATGGTATGTTTACTTGCCCCCAACCCCCCGGACTCCTTTGTCCATCGTCTTCCCATCTATTTCCCAGCGCGAAGCGGCTTACTGACGACCGTACAGGTGACACTGTTACAACTGAATAGGTATTAATTTACGCCACCAATTCTATCCCGCTCCCCATTAATTCAGTCGCAGACATCTCGATGACGTACATCAGAACTTAGAAGATGATCGGCAAGATGAAGTCAAGGATTGGTTTAAAACGCAGATGGAGAAAGCGAGACGCTTCCAACCTCTTGCTGTCTTGAATCAGAAGTTAAAGGGGTTAGATGTGTTCGAGTCGAATGACAATCTGCAAGCCTTCGCCGGCCCGAGTCGTCCTTCTGGATCCATCCAAGCGCCTGTCCCTGAACAACCGAAACCACTTGACCCTGACGACATTATAACAAAGGATCATTGGCAAGCGCGGGGGCTATACGATGTTTGTTTGGAACCCTCGTGCGGGAAGCGGCTTAATGCCACCAATGGATGTGTCAACTGTCGAAAATGCGGGAAGCTATTTTGCGAGGAACACACCATGTACCAGATGAAGCTATCGAGGTCGGCGCAACATGAACCGGTAAGAGGTTTATGGTGTAGGGTTTGCGAAACGTGTTATAAGTCTAGGGAGGGGTATAATGATCACAATGGTAAATCGACTCTCGCGTGTGCGTCGCACCATAATTGCTAATAATTACAGGCGTGGTAAGGGACCGGACGGACGATTTCAAATCCGTGAGAAAGCAGACAGTCGACAAGGCTTTCTTAGAGGTATCCCGGTTAGAGAAGCGTTTGACGCGACTCACCCAGCTATTGGCTAGCTTGCCTGTGGAGCAGATCCAGTCGAATACAAGTAAGATCTGGTCCATAGCGTGGCAGAATGATCAACGAAAGGCCCTTGAGCAAACAGTCGTTAGCTGGCAGGACGACTCGGGCGTCCTGAGATGTCCATTTTGCCAGCAGGACTTTACCAGCTATACTTTTCGAAGGCATCATTGCAGAACTTGCGGGCGAGTTGTCTGCGGTGACCTAGCAACCGGGTGTTCTACCGAAGAACCTCTGAGCATCACCCCTTGTAAGTCTATTACATAGTAGCTTAACTTATCTTCACTGATAACGTGCAGTATCCAAAGCATCCACAGAGAAGTCCAGTAAGATGGACATAATGAATATTGATGTCAGACTTTGTAAGGAATGCAGAGCAACATTATTTGACCGTCGGGACTTCGAGGCCGACCTCATGCGGAAACCCCCAGACTTAAGGGCTTATGAGAATCTGGTACAGTTTGAGAGGGGCATTCGAATCCTTTTGCCCAAATTTCAAAAGCTCTTAATGGCTTTGCAGTATGTGATCTGTCACCTGTAGAGCGTTGTTTGTGTGCTAATCACGTACATCAGAGACCCCAGGCGACCACCGTCGTCCGCTCAAATAGCCGAAGCTTCCAAAATCCGCAAGCGACTTATTGATTCATTCTCCCAGTATGATGTCGCCGCTCGACGCATACGCGACTTGCCTACAGAATCTTCAGCACAGCAACGTCTCCAGAAAGCCATATATCAGCAGGCCAGCAACTTCCTTCACCTTCACATGCTTCCCCTGAAATCTTTGCCCAAGGTTCTCAAGCATTCGACGCCCAACGGTCGACTACCAAGCTCCCCTACTAGCTCGCCCAGCCCTAGCAATGGTTCGACGGGTGGTCATCGACGACAAGGGTCTGCCTTGTCAATTATTAAGTATAACAGCGTGGCTACAAGTGGTAGCAGCAGCAGCCTAGCCAGCGACACAAGCAGCGTCATTTCTGCATTGGAAGCAGAAGAAAAGTCGCTACGTGAGCGGCTTATTGTTCTTGAGGAGCAAAAATTCTTCGTCTCTGAAATGATTGCCGATGCGAACCGACGCCGCAAGTTCGATGAGGTCAGCAGTCTAGCAATAAATGTGGAGGATCTCACCCGTGAGATTGACCGTGTGAATGGGATGTTAGAGAGGCTAGACTTTGAGAGTGTCTATACCAGCAACCCGTCAATAGGTTGATAGCGGTTTTCAGAATTCGACCTACGTTGGCTAAGGGTTACACCCTCTTCTTGTTCGCGTAACAATTAAACTGATGAGTTTTGGTCGCATAGTGGTTGAAGCGGCGTTTTGGGATCGATAATTTTGCATAGCATCGGGCGTTTTGTGTGTCGGAGTTCCCCTTATAGTGGCCTTTACGGTTGGTTTATTTGCCTTTGCTTTTTAATATGTGACCATAGCCCACTTGGCTTGGTCGGTCGATTGCTTTGTGTTGCATATAATAAATATATCAGCTATCACATTAAGTCTGCACATTGCCATATTTTGCCAATCTGTACCTCTATCGTAACCTTGAAGTCTAGAACTGGAACTCCTCAGTGCAGAGCGTGTCCCTATCATGGCATTCTCTACCATGTAATCCTGTTGTCCTTGCGCGCCGATGTCTCTTCGATAACTGAGTTATAAAAATAGCGTGGAACAAATGACAGGTCTCTATTAGAGATGAGTGATTTATATATATAACCATAACCTGTGAAGGGCCTGCGCCATGTGCGTGGTATGTTCTGCAGCCTACATTCGGGAAGAACGACGAGGACTACGGCCTTTCGTAAGTCTATGTGTAATGGGCATCCCATTTGTCAGTTCAATGTCAAAAGTTGAACCTGACTCCGGCGGACAGACGAGGCAAAATCAGTTACCGGTCAGACATCGGCAGGCCGTCCCGGGATCCCGTGCTCAGCTCCAGCCTTATCCAAACCTATAGAGACTTCTATATATGAAAGTTTGTAAAAACTCTCACCAATCAGAGCATGTTAGCTCAGGGGAAGAGCGTAAGTTGAATCACGTGATTCAATCAAACTTGGTCAATAAACTAACATGTAAACAGGCCGGGCTCATAACCCGGAGGTACGATTTGTCCTTTCACCAGCCAATTACAATCCGATTCCTAACAAAAAAAATAGGTCCCTGGATCGAAACCAGGACATGCTATCCATATCTTTTTTTTCTCTCCTCTTTTACCCTCAGGATCGAAACCAGGACATGCTATGCGGTTCTACCCCTTGTAGGTTCCTCTACAGGGTCAATTTTTTTTATATCTTTACTAACTTCAATTGTAAGAATGAGCGGGGAATAGTGTGGGCATACCTGCTTAATATCATCTATCTGGCAAGGAGGGGGCATCCATATGGAACATTGAATGCCAAAACCATCAAAACCGGCTTCGTCAAATCGAACTAGAGTGAGACCTCATTTTGTATCATACAGTGGTCTTCCCATTGTCTCGAGGAGAATAGCGATGTCCTGTCGGGCAACTTAAACAATACACTGACTTTTGCGAGCTCGTTTATATATTTCGGTCCATCGCAAAAGTTCAGCTTCAACAGCTCCATGAGGTGATATATATCATACGTATCGCATAACCAGGATCAGGAACTACAAGCCATTCTGTAGACATATTTCAATGCATACACCTCACATAAGATTCATCTCCTCCATGTGTATCAAGCAACTGCATGATGTAAAAGACCCAACTTGTAGTCAAGCCCACTTGCCTAACAAAATAAACCCGTGCCATAAGCACTAGTCCACTGACTATTTCAGATCTCGCTTACGCACATGGTCTCGAGGAACTTGCCCTAATCTACCCCTCGTTGGACAACCAGAATTGCGAGTTTAATCTCTCTATTAAGGCCGCAACTTACGGACCCCACGTTATCCTACGCATTATTCAGGTAGGTTGGCTTATACCTAGCGGGGTTCGGAATTATAAAGCGGGGTCTATACGATAAGCCAGGAAGACGAAGTGGCGAAGCAATCCGGGGATGAGACTAGTCATTAGTAGCACCATGAGGGACCCTGTGAAGGATCCACTAGGGCAGCGAGGCGCAGTGAGAAGTGAAACCCTTGTTTCCCAGAATGTGGGAGCTCGAAGTGATCCTTAATATACCGAGTAGTCGTTGATCGGCGGTGAGCTCGCTAATGCAAGTTGAATGCTACGGAAGACCAGTTTCTCATTTTGGAGGGTTTCGAAGGTGGGGATTTTAGTGACAACTCGCATAATCTAGTGTCTGGTGCTACTAGACTAGCTTTCATTGACGTTTTTGGCCGAGTTGGGTCCCTCGACGAAGGCCTCTCTGCTATTTACCGTTAAAGAGTCGGGGCCCGGAGGTTAGCAAGAACAAGAGGAAACATTTGGAACTTAACTCTACAGGGATGGTAGAAGAGTATAAGCAGGAATGGCATAAAATAGGTGCCTGGAATTGTGCGATAATAAATCAGTTCTCTCTCCAAATGTATATAGTACATACCTCTTCCAGTGCAATATTGATGTATGGAGCATGTCATGAGAAACAAGGATTGCCGAGGGATTACGCTGATTGGGTGTAAACTGATTGAGTTGTTGAAGTGGATCCGTATTGTTTGGATGGAAAAGATCTCCTCATATCGTACTCCGTAGAAAAGGTACTATTCTTAATAATAGTGCATTAAATTGTTAGTGCATGGGTGGTTCTTGAGCGCATGTGCATGGATCGGCAGGCATTGACCTTGCATTCTTTTGACATTAGATCCATATATCAGTCGACAAACATTCCGGTCATCGCCACGCTGCTTAAAATAGCATTAGTAGGGACCTTGCACTAGACCGAATGGGTGCAGAATTAATTAACTCCATCCAGGCTATACATGGCTTAGTCAGGCCCCCTCTTTCCCCAAACTGGGAAAGGCGGCGAAACACCTGCTTTGCGTGACATCGATTAAATCACAAGCATCAGGACCTTCGCATCCATGGTTACAAGCCTCTCATTAAGCTGGCCCTGAATTGGAGCTGGTCTCCCTATGTCTTTAGATACTCGATAATGAGCCCAATCGTTCAGTTGGCCCTCCAAGTGAAAAGAGCCCGTGCTGCCATCAACAACATCAGCAGGGGGAGGAAATCAGATACCAAGAGAAATAACCCGTCTAGGCACAATCCCTTCTCTTCCTCGGTCTCTTCGACACTGGAGTACGTGCTCGAAGATACTTTGTTATAAAACCACCCGCGCCTCTTTGCTAATGCCCCTCTAGTGTCAATAAATTGAATCCGGTGTCGACGTCTTCGTTATGGGACATCCTCCCTGTTGAGATTCAAATAAAGATACTCGCCCACTGCGGTATCACGGACCTCTTACCATTAAAACTCGTCTGCAAAGCCTTCTACGAGCTTCTTACCACGCATGAACATGCGATCACTCGGCAGTATCTCCGCCAGCGCCGCCATGGGACCCTTCCTGCCCCGATAGATAGTGGAAAGACATATACACGCCACCCTGAGGATGACGTAGTGCTACTGTCAGATCTTTTTCCTCCCGCACAGAGCGCAAAGGGTGGCCATATATATACTTTTAGATATGTGTACAGTCTTCGGCGGCGGCAGAAAGTCTGCTCCAAGCTATGTTATTACATCGCAGACCGCGTCATGGATCGGTTCGCCGCAAGCGAACCGGCATTCATGAAGTCTATGTTCCCCTCCAGAAACGAGCGCAATGAGTTTATGAAACGAGGGACTGCGAAGATATGGTTTTATCTTACGCCGCTGATGTAGGTGTCACTCTCAAATAGCATTTTGACGTGGTCTCTAATGGCTTCTCCAGGTATTATACTCTATACTTCCTTGAGTCCTATACTCTTGCTAGACGGGAACAGACCAACATGCTTCTGCGCGATTTCGAAGCTGGACGACTACCCGTGCCTATTCCCCCGGACGTCCGCAAGTCTATGTACCGAAGCCTGCAAGTCAAGATACTACGGTCTCCCCCTTTCACAAACACCGCCACTCTCATCGCTACACATCATTGCATGCAACTCCTTGTTTCATACCTTCAATATACAGTACCTCCAGATGAACCTGGCACATCAGATGACAGTTGGATTAGCTCGTTACTTACGGTCTCGCCGTTTATCCGTCTCGTGGAGTATTTCTCCGCTGAGATCGGTGACGGCGGAAACCAACGAATGCAGCGGAAAGATTTCATGCGCAACTTCCACAATGATATTACGTCGAACGAGAAGGATGATATGAATTCATTGGTCTTCGAAAAAGCACCGAATAGTCATATGCATAGTTCTATACAGGACGTCTGGTTTGAGGTTGCTCGTCAGGAGCTGGCCTTGAGAAGGGCCATGCAGCATCGTGCGGAGCAAATCGTGATCGGGGACCATTTACCAGTACTACTTGGGTGTCAGGATTGTCGGGATTCAATGGGGTACCGTGCATGAATTGCTCAGGTTACAGTATAGCAAGCGTTGTATTACCTAGCGGGAGGTCCTAGGGTTGCAAACATCGTGGATCTATGGTATTTTCACCGTGTTTTAGGCATGTCAAATTTTCTTTTCATGTCTAAAGAGTCTATAATACAGGATGTATACTTTTAATATTATGAAATAAACACCACATTGTCACTGTAAATTTCTAAAATCTACTGTATCTCTACCATGGCTCAATAATTACTTTCCACGATACATACTTTTAAAGGTAATGGATAGTATACTAGTGGTAGAACCAGCAAATTTTATAAAAACTAAGCATGCTGACACCGTGTTTTATCATCCATTTTTAGTTTCCTGTAATTCCACTGAGATCAAATTAAGTATACATCCTGCACCATGTCTTCAACCCTAGGACCTCCGGCTAGGTACTAGTCGGGGTAAGGCGTTTTCAGGGGTTATTGGTCTGCACGGCGGGAAATATACATATCGGTTAGTTTGGTGTAGATAATTACTTTTCGTATAACAACTCCTTACAACAATTTAGACGGATTTTGTACTACTGAACAAACCTCCAACAGACTCGTGATCCGGGTATAACCTCATTATTTCTTCTTCATTAAACTCCGAAGATCATGGCTTTTGGGATTTTTATTATATTGCAAATATCAATATCGAACGACAACCTTACGACGACAGCAGTCTATGCCTCCGCGTCTAGAATACCCGGTTTACAGATACCCTACACTCGGCCGACCAATGCAGCTTTTTGAATTGCTATTTGCAAGCTAGACGATGCTAAATTTCGCACAAAGTCAGGTATCACTCGCAGAAAGAGTTCGTTTCGTATAATTTAACAAGTTTCAGTAGCAACACTACACTGCCTGCATCTTGGGCTATTGCGTCCTTGACTGGTTTTGAAGGATCTTTCGCCGCGCCATTCATTGATATGCGGGAGTTACTTCACCCTGCATTGTTAAATGCATGAGATGGAGGCCTACTTTGTCTCTAACATGCCATTTCCGCTTGACTATCTTGACATACTAGCAGCATTCGTCGGTGTGGCAATGGCTGGCTCATCACAAAAGCAAACCCAGTCGTGTTGGTCGGCCTCTTCCAGCCAGGGATGAATAAGGTCAATATTTCGATACGATGGGATATTGTGGAAATCTCTGCTTTTGTTTATTTCGGTTTCATTTTGTATCGCAGTTGGTGTAGAAAATCTGATGAATATATTCAATTGCAGGTACTCTAAGGAGCAGGATTTATGCGGTTTCTGTGAGTCTACCCACTGGGGAAGTTGTGCTCCTGGTAACGGGCCAAGCCTTTCCTGCCATGTGCTTCATATATATGACAAGAAATGGGGGGAAATATGGACATTGCTGGCGCGTCAGAAGCAACTCAACCGACGCGACAGGTTTGGATGAAGAGGATGGTTTTTCAGAGGGGGAATATGAGACTGGGGGCTCGGTTGATCCTGATGACGGGAATGGTTAGTTCACCTAGCAGATGGCGGGCCATCCAGGAACGTGGCATAGAAATTCCTATGGGTAGTGCAGCAGTAGCTCCCTCGGGTGTCGGGGTTGATACGATGCTGACTTTGGTTACACGGTCTCATGGCCAGCATTTCAATATCAGCATTCTATCTCCTTCTCGGCATGGCTTCACTAGCTACATCATATATTGCCATGATACTGACTGTAAGAGAGTAATAGGCACTCGAACAACAGGTAAAGGTCCTACTTCACGGTCCTCAATAATCTCTTCGATACTTTAGCCTACTTAGCAGTTATCTTGCCGTCTCCTCTTAGTTGCTCGTTATGTTGAAGTAAGACGGAAACTGCAGCGATAATACATCTAGGGGTTCTTTGGGTGTAGGTATCACGGCTAAGGCAGTTTTTCTCTTAGGGATTGTCTTCTTACTAAGTAGTGCTTTAATTCTCTTCTGTTATGAAATAGCAGTAGAGACAGGAGGATAGGGCAGCGCAGCTGCCATAGATGCAAAAGTGGGAGGAGGTTGTGGTGGAGCGATGACTTTTCAGGGTAAGTTTAACAAGGGGCCTTGGCGTAGGAAGGTGGTATTCCCTGTGAACACCGGATGGGTTAGTAGCACAGATACCGGTTCTATACTTGTAGCTGCGGTGCATGTGTTATAAAGTTGCGATAGCGTGTTAGAATTTCGATCTTTGTAGACACGTTGTAACGAGTTGATGATGTATCAACTTTAATGCCATGCGCATATATTCCGATAGTGCTCAAAGGAATATATATCGTGGTCTATCATCTTGTCGACTAAACTCGTTATTTGAGAGCCCGCTCGTTCAATTTGGGAGATATGACGTGCGGGTGAGACAGTAAAGGAGCAGAAATTTATGATATCCAGTATTTATAAAGTCAGAGGTCACGATGCAGATCAAGATATCTCATTTAGTATTATGGAAAGACCAGATTTCATATCGTAGACATGAATAGTGTACCTAATCGCGTGTACGAAGGAGGACGACAGGTGGCGTAGTGAAGAGGGTAAAATACCAGTGGACTTCTGCTATCGAGTATCAGCATGTGATTGTAGAGTTATTTGTAAGAATAGTATATTGGCTCGCGCTCAGCTTTAGTGGCAGCTTTCAATGTGCTTCTATTGAGTATACCAACACATTGTAGGGTGATGATAGCATTGAAAATGATTTTTAATTATATGTCAGAGCCCTTTCGGCGTACGTAATCGGAATGGTGGTACGCCGGCGGAATTCGGTAAGCCAACGGGCTACAGGATAGATAGTACAGGAAGATATATCGTGTTTAAATTATAAGAAGAGTTGTATGTAAGGTAGAGCAGAACGAATCGCTTGACGATCTGAACCCTCTGCGCGATCGAAACCTATATACTGTTGGGTGGGCCCGATATTCCACATGACCAAAAAGTCTAAAGATCACATAAATTTATTTCTGAACCTACGACTCAGGAATCAGGATGTCCTGGAGTCGCCTATATAGCAGCCAAATCTGCAAAACGAGGGATGTACAACTTCAAATCTCTTCTTAGATCTATATATATTTAGTTAGTCTAACTAACCAAGCAGAGCATGTTAGCTCAGGGGAAGAGCGTAAGTTGAATCACGTGATCAAAACTAAACTTGGTCAATAAACTAACATGTAAACAGGCCGGGCTCATAACCCGGAGGTACGATTATCCTTTCACCAGCCAATCACAATCCGATTCCTAACAGAAAATAGGTCCCTGGATCGAAACCAGGACATGCTATCTTTTTTGCTCTACAAGGGTAGAGGGTACTCGAGTGCCTATCCATCTTACCTCATCGAGCTCACAACGTTAAGTAACCGCATAGAATCTATTCGATATTTTTTAGCGCATCTTCAGGTATTTATTAGAAATCTGGATTGAGAAAACTATAAGCTCTTTCATCAAGAATCAGGATTCTAGGGAATCCGATATCTTAATCTTAACGTATAATGTGTATATATACTCCGGGTTGTCTTTTTCATCATTGCGCAACGGAGCGAAGCGTACCAAGCATTATATCTATTGTAGTGGGGTGACCCCTATCTATCACATCACACATGATTCCTAAAGTTGTACATATAAGATACGGCGAGTTGCCATAGTCAATGAAACTAGCCATGTTTTCCTTTCTTCATGGGCCGTACCAGCCGCTAGTGTAGGAATGCATTGTGAGACAACGTACGCGACGACGACTCGGGATTTGACGTAGTAGCGGTATGACGACATACGACCAATTTACAATATCATATATGGTATCTAGATTCTAAATGTGGAAATAGAGCTTCAACAAGATCAATTTTATTCTTAAAGACAAACGCGCCTAGAAATAAAAGCTGAACATCATTTCTTAAACCCTCTACAAGGAATGAGGCTGCCGTGTACTAATCAATAAAAGACTCTAACATAATTCCTCGTCCAGGGAGGCTGGGCTTGCCGAGATAAGTTTCAAAGCCGAGGGCTATAGCCTATGTTTGTGCTCAAGTATACACATGTTTCCGCGAAGAACTATCACAAGGAACCAGCCTCATTGAATGCCAACGTCGTTGGAAATGTTGGCTCTCCTCCAAGGAATATCCCTCCAGCACATCAACTAGAGAATTCATCTTGAAAACATTTCGAGCCCCCTTGGTTTGGAGCCAGGTGTGGAAGCCCCCCTGGGCGTCATGGCCGCTGATCGAAATTGCTAGTCGGCTTGCTGGGTCCCTTGTTTCGGCCATGTAAGCATAGGCGTTGGGGTGACGACTTTCAGCCAAGTGAAGTTGAACAAAGACTTCGTCACCACATTTCAAACGTAGCCCAAGCAACTGTGAAATTGTAAATCTGAAGGAACCGCATGACACTTCATACATTTCATCCTCATGGGACGCCTTTACTGTTACCTTTCTTGATTCCAAATATTTCATGATGTTCGTCGACTTTTTTTTCTGCCAGGCCTGCTGGCCCTGGGCTCGACGCTTGGCGAGAAGGTTTTGATAATATTGTCTTAGCAGAGCGTCGGGAGAGTTTCGTATATCGTTAAACGCGTCTCTTGCACTTTCTGCCCATTGACGAATTGCCGGGTCCTCAGAAAATACTGCTGGAAAGATATTCGCCCGCCAACTGCCTCGCTCACAGCCTGGTTTTCCTCCGTGAAGCCTTGCCACAAGGGTAGTGCAACATTAAGGTGATGCCCCGACCAGAGGCTGTTTACACTCTCGGGTAGATACTCATTTAGGTGTAATGATGTCAATGTCTGGAAGACCAGTGCCATCCACATTTCGAGGAGGTTCAGCAATAGCTGTGTTTTGGCAGATGTTGGCTTTTCACTGGCGCCTAGGGTGACAAATACCGAGTCCATGTCTTCAGCTGAGTCCCAAACATGGTAGTGTAGTGATGGGTTACGTTTCCGGCGGTAGATATCGTTGTGTGTTCGAATTCTCTCTCGAAGTTCTGCTGCTTGTCCGACGTATAACCAAAACTTTTGTGGATTGCTCCTCCTCCACAGGATGTGGAGGTAAACCCCACAAATAACTAGGTTTTCTGGGTTCTGACCAATTGCTATAAGACTATTTCCCTTCATTAGAAAGATGCCAGAAAGGGTGAAGAAGCGGGCGATATACTTCGAGAGCGTAAATTCACCGTTTTTGCATATGTCCCTTACAGTGGGATTCAAGTGCTGTTCCAGAATTGCCCCCATATCATCTGTGTCTAATATGGACGCATATCTCTCTTCATATTTTTCTGCTGTTTTGGAGATGAGTTGCTTTAGGATGAGTGCACGATTAACAGGCCCAATATTCTGGAGCTGGAGTGGTTCCCCCACTACGCCTGCGGTAAAATTGTTTCTAGTCCTCGCAGGCCCTTCCACACTAGTGTTCTCATGTAGCTGGTTTCCCTTAGGTGGTTCAGTGTGAGCATTTGACTGTGAAACAACGCTCTGTATGTTTTCTTAAGCACCTCTCCAGTATGCCCGATATCTTATAGGCTGGTAACAACTTACTCCATCAAGAGTATTCGTGTTTGGCTGAATAAACTCTTCTTCGGAGGATGAAGGGCTCTCGGCACTTCGCCTTCGAGTATACTGTTTTACCTCAAGGGGACATTTTCCTAACAGATGCCACGATTTACATTGGCCACATTGCGTTGCTCTGCAGTGATATTTTCTGTGGCCAAAATTTCCACATCTCGTACAGAATCGACATAGACACTCACCATAGCCGTTCCTAATGCATTCGCAATGTAGATCCATGATAACGTGGAAAAAGGTGAAGGGTTGGGGGAATTATGTGGGAAGGATTTAATAGTATGAAGTTGATGGTTTTGGTGCTGGTGCTCGTACATCAAGAAACGCGAAATTGTGTGTGCGTTGAGGGAGGAGGGACAGCAACGGGCTTAATATTCACTTTTCAGATTATCACTATCAACACTCACTTGTCCATGGTGCCCAATGTAATGATAAGTCACAGTTGTGTGGCACACGTTCTACCCTGGTACGCCGCGTATATTTGTACCACAATTTCTGTCCTTATCAGTTCCTTTGTCCTAGGTATTGTATATCTGGCAAGTTCCATGAGTATTCCCTAGACAAAGAAGCTATACAATGAATTAGAAAGGATGAGTAGCTTCATGGATATTCGACTAGAAAGCATATATTTGTATGTTGAAAAGGTTCTTTGTAAGATAGTACAGCGTATGGGCTAGAGTCATCACATTAGTGTCACTTAAGAGGTACCAGGACATTGTATGAATGATTGGGGGGACATGACGCTCTCAACTTCTGGCAATAATCAGCAGATGCCTATCCTCATTGAGAGCTTTCTTACCTGGGGAAGCAGACTGATCTTTCTTCTCAAGGGCTTTCACAAGCCAGGATGTAACATCCTTCTGGGTTATATTTTTCTCCACATTCCGTTGCTAAGCAAACTCATAGTAGTAATTGATACCATGGGAGAGAAGTTATTGTCAAAAACAAAGACGAGGGAAGCGGCGTGAGAATCAGGGTGATAATTATCAAAAGGGGGAGCAAACGTCGCACTCAATACTCAGAATAAGAAAGAGAAAAGTTGTTAGACTCACAGCTCTCTTCTCCGCTATCTGGTTTGCAAGATATATCATCAACAGACCATAGTTATCCATTAGCCCCTGTATTAAGCCAAAAAGAGTCTGTATTCATAAAACAGGCTTCAAAATTCGTATATACAACATTTAGTCGTGGAGATCCTCGATTGCAACATGCTATATACCCTTCTCCAACTAGCGAAAGTCTTTGGAAACGCCGACAAAACCAGGTTACGTGGGCCACTATAAGTTGTCGAGAGATCCACCCAAACAGGAGCGAATCTGAGAAATAAGGACATCAGCCTTGTTTTGAACGCTCAGTTCATAGATCGCCAATACTTTTAAACTTACGCTTTGAATCTGTATTACGAAAATGTATAGGATAGGCGAGGATGGCTTGGTTTATTTTACCTTTCATACTGAACCCCTCAGTCCCATGTACTTCTTCGTCGACGATACACCTCGGGATCGCGGGTGGGATTTATCGAAACCTGTAGAATTATCATTAGAGATATAGCTGTACAGGCTAGGCCATGTACAGGACGATTAGGGCTTATTGATTATATTACAAAGCCAATGGACAATTTCTAGATATTTCATAGGGACCTGTACATACAAACTCTCCGTATTCGCGGTGCATCGCCTCAAGATTTCTAGGTGACATTGATCCCGTTTCACCCTCTGGTACATTGTAAATAGTCGGCTCAGCCTAGCCGTCCATGGTCCAGGGAATTGACCAAGCCGGTGAAAGAAGACTGGGTAGAGGATGATACTCGCCGTCAGTTCAAACTGGAAAAAGCATACTGCAAGGAAAGGCTATCCAATCACATAAAGCCTACCGAGTGAGAAGGCGTGGGTATAGCCAACGTATACGGAGAGCCAAATCCCTAGATAAAGGGCTGCTAGAGGCCGGATTTGATTATCAATTTCGGTCGTGCGGGTGGCCTGGTGGAAAACTACGCCCAACATGAGAGATGTGGGCGCAATTTGCGAGGGAGCAGGATCCAGCAGTGTCGTTAGTGCTGCTTTAATATCTTCTAAATCCATGCACTGAACTTTTCTGCCTGTAATATACTTGGAAAGGAGGGGAGAAGTGCAGTGGGGTATTCTTTTCTCCTAAACCGCAGGTGGAGAAATCCTCCTCCCACGACCGCAACCAAGTGGCCAATGGGTAGGGATCGATGACCGACTACTGTTGGTTTAATGCCGTAAGATAAGAATAGGTGAATCAGTCTCTACTAGTCAGACACACTACTGTAATATCCTTGCGCAGCTATCATGCTGCTTGCTCTAAGCGTATGGTTCGGGTCGCTATTTCTAATCCCAAGCTATCATACCATTGAGTTGCTAATAGATGAAGTACGTTGTAACGGAAGTTAAGATTATAAGACAATGGCCAACAAGAACTTGCATTTGTATCGACTGTTTTCCTAACCTTATTGCGCTAATATGGATCTCCTCCGCCAAGGTAAGAGAATATGGTTGAGTCTCTGCAGCCAACAGCTTATGCAGTTTACATTTATTATGCGCTGGCCATAGTTATCACGGGCACTCGCATCTATTGTAAGACTTGTGATCTCAATAGCATTGACAAGGATGACTGGTGGATGGTCTATATCTCGGCAAGTGCTCTGTGTAATCATAGAGTACTCTTCAAGAGAAGCTCCGGCGAAGAGGCTTTTTTCTGATGTCCTCTGTTCAGACCATAATGGGAAGCTGTTTATCTATACCCAGTCACTTTGCCTTCGTATCGTACTACATACAACCTGGGTAGCCTGGCAACTTCATCAACGGGATCATTAAGCTCCAGATTGGAGAGGGTAACGTTATAGGTTGGCTATATCCAAAAGCAACAAGTGAAGAATAGCTCTATAGCCTTTAATAACTAGGGCTCTGACACTAAGCTTGATGTACTAGCTACCTCCCTACATAAAGCCGAGAGCACTGAAGTACTTAACGGTGATTACGTGAGAAGACTAGCAAAAGGTGACGAAGCACTATGTTGGTATGATAGTGGAGGGCAATCAATCAATCAACCAATCAAAATTCTATTAACCTGTTCGAGCCTAACTCCTATTAAAGAAGCATAGTGGAGGGCAACTCATAAGCTGCTACGGCTATGGTACATCTATTGATATTATGGTCGATTGTCGCGGTCATGGAAACAAAAAGCCACATTGGCAAGCGTCTAGCAATTGGAAAGGGGCTCTCTACGAGCATGGATCAAGGCTCACCCCGAGTTTAGGACTTGTATATAAAAAGTGACGGTCTGGTCTCCACATTTTCGTAGATCAGGCCTGTATAAGGATGCTTAAAGCAAATCACTGATTGATGGTAAGACAAGGTGAATGAGAGCCAGTAGGAAATGATACTGCAGAATCATCTACCTCGATACAAGGATGTCTAATTGTCGGGAAAATTATCATGGGACAAATAGACACTAGCCTAAAGATTAACGAAGCACACAAAGAAATCAGAAGTCCAGGCAACAACCTAATCTTTGTTCTCGTTTAAAACATAGTCAAATGCCTCGTCTAAGATCGTGAGGCCCTCCTCAATCTCCTCAGCTGTAACGGTAACAGGCGGAGCCAAACGAAAGACACCCCCCATACCTGGAAGATTAACAACATTGCACGAGAGACCACACGCCATAGCCCGATCAGAGACCGCCTGTCCGAGGTCCGGGCCTGGGGCCTTAGTCTCCGCATCAGAGATAATTTCGATGCCCTGCAAGAGACCCCGGCCACGGACGTCGCCGATACACCAATACTTCTCTTGCAGCCTAAGGAGACCGTCGCGCAATTGCGCACCACGCTCCGCAGCTCGCTGACAGATGTTATCCCTCTCGACAATTTCGAGGACCTTACTGCCCACTGCAGCGGTAAGTGGGTCATTAAGGTGGGTGGTGAGCCAGAGGAAGCCGGCTTCGGTGCACCCGCGTTCTATTTCAGTGGTTGTACTGACAGAAGCAAGAGGCAAACCGCATCCAAGCGTTTTTGACAACGCCAGGATATCGGGTACAATTCCGTCTTGCTCGAAAGCGAACATCTGACCAGTTCGACCAACACCGGTCTGAGCTTCATCCATAATGACCAGCATGCCACGTTTCTTGCATTCCAAGCTCATGCGTTGCAGATATCCTGGGGGGAGCTCGAGGATACCGCCTGTGGAGAGAATAGGCTCCATGATAAACGCTGCAAGGGAGCCAACACTTTGACGGTCAATCATTGACCAGCCAAATTCCATCTCTGCCTCCCAGTCGTACGATCCATTGGGCTTACGGAAAGGCGAGCGATAAGTATATGGAGCAGGAAAGGCAAGCTGGCCCGGCATGCAGGGGCCTCCGCTTTTACGGCCGGCTGAGTAGGTCGCGGAGCCCGACCCCTGAGTTAATCCATGGTAGCTTGCGGCGAAAGCAACAATCTCAAATTTGCCAGTATAGCATTTGGCGATCTTAATCGCTGCTTCTGTAGACTCGGAACCGGTGCTTAGAAAGAAAGACTTTTCTAGAGGCGCTGGAAGGAAGCGGGCTAGGCGTTCAGCGAGCTCGACGACAGGGTAGGTGATCATGTTGCTCAAGAGGTGGTCGAGCTCGGCGACGTATTTTTGAACTACCTCGACGATCTCCGGGTGAGAATGTCCTAGGAGGGAGCTCATTTGGCCGGAGGTGAAGTCGAGGACCGGTCTGTTGTTGACATCGTAAAGCCTGGTGCCCTGGGCCTTTTTCATAATGACCGGGGAGAACGGGACACCTGTTTTCATTAGGTATTTGTCCGCCTTGGAAAAGAATACGGTTGTATCTGTGGAGGCCATGGTGTGTATGTTTGTATTGTTCTGGCTTAAGTCCTAGAGAAAGGAGAACGCATGAAAGAAGGCAAAGTATAGGAAGCCGTTTGAGATAGGCAGCAGGCGAAACTTAATATAAATGATAATGTTCCATTCTCACAGTGCTGCCACTTATATACCAACTGAGAGCATGGCGACCGAGTATTCCGCGGCGAGCCTGTTATAGAATACTCTGGAGTTAGCCGCGGATTGCGTGAGTATATTCACTACTAATAAATGGCAAAAGTATCTCGTTCGCGCGCAGATAACACTGGTGGAGTTTGCCGCGGGGTTTGCCGCGGAACCACAGATATCTTCTTCCCACATCTATTGTTGTGATTTCCATCTTCACCTCCCTTTGCCAAAAGCAAAGAATTGAGTACTCAACTGAGATGGAAAGAGACCCCAGTGGCTGTGGTGATGATGGAGACAGCGCTGAAGCCAGGCCATACCGGTCTCACCTGTATCCTGCCTGCCTACCTTGCAAAAAACGCAAGTCCCGCTGCAGGACAACAGACTCGTCCGGCAAATGCATCATGTGCCGGGCTCATGGTACCGATTGTATCTATCCTCGGCCGGGTGATAACTCCCGGCGAGGGTCCGTAGCTTCGCCGCGGAAGTTGACGCCCAAGTCGCGACAGACACCGAGAACGGCAGCACAACCCAAGAAGAGCCTTTCGACATTAACCTCTCTCCACAACCAACAGGTATTGACTCATCCGGTAGAGGCAGTTAGCCCCTCAAGAGAGTTTGCTCCACAAACAATCAGCAGGCCTGCAGCGAGTCTAGAGACACAATCGTGCCCTCCCATTCATGGGCATTTTAGTCGAGAGGCATTTCCTAATCTAGTGGGCATCGTTACCGAGGCCGACGACAATAGCTCGCATATAGTTAGTCCTGCAGTTGCCGAAGATAACGATATCCTGGAGAGCTACCTCTCTACCGTCCCAGATGCTCGGCGGAGGTCGATAATTCAGACAGATCCGAACTCAAGACGGCCTGTAAGACCAGTGCTGTTCAACACTGTACCCAGGCGGCCATTAGGAGTCTCTGCAAATCAGTCGCTTCCCGCTACAAAATGTGAATTCATCGAAAAATACCTAGAGCCAGGTGTCGATGATGTTGTGGACCTGTGAGTAGTCAACTCAACTCCCAGTTATTCAGGACCGGCTGATGGCTTCCATGTAACATGTAGATTCTTTCACCATGTCAACATATGTTTTCCTATTTTTGATGAAATGTCCTTTCGACATGTCTATTGCACGCATAAAGAAAATATTTCGCCGGCTTTTCTTTGCAATCTGTATGCCAACGCTCTGATCTATTGGGAGAATTCGCCCAGTTTGCGGTCCGGTCGCTGTCCCGATATCCGCTTCATTTGGAACCAAGCCAACGAAGCTCTCCATTCAGAGCTATTTCTATCCCCCGGGATATCAACGGTCATGGCGATTATTCTGAATGTTTGCGGAAGGCCAAGTACCTCCATATTCGGCAATGGGGGGATGGTTGGGACTGCAGTCGCCCTGTCCAATGCTCTGGGCTTAAACCGTGACCCTTCCAATTGGAATATTCGTCCAATGGAGAAAAGTTTTCGGATTCGCATTTGGTGGCTGGTTATTATACATGACCGATGGTACTAAGCATCTTTTATCTTTACATTTCTGGTCTTGCACGCACTGACAAATCCCCGCAGGTGCAGTTTGGCTTACGGGACCCCCCTCCAGATCCATCGTGCGCAATATGACGTGCCCTATCCGACCATAGACGACCTTTGTTCTCCTAATGCTTCACAATCCCAAATAGCAGCTTCCCTAGTCTTCCTCTCCTTGATAAAATTGACTGACGTGTTGGGTATTTATCTTCAACACGTATACAGGGTCTCCGAGAGCACGCCGTATCCGCCGGAAATGTCTTCCATGGACCTCGAGCGGCTTCTCACCGATTGGGAAGAATCTTTGAGCGGCGATGTCCGTCACATCGTCCTCCGAGGGACACATTTGAATGCTCCAGGGGCGGCAAACTTCCGACTAGCCTACCTAGCGATCAAGCTTTTGCTGAGACGCATCCAGCTCGACCTCGACGCGGAACCCATGAAAGCTGTTGATGAGACCACGTCTCCATTCTATACACAAGCACAAAGGGCGGCGGAGGAAATCGTTCATATGGTAAGGGAGCTGGAAGAGTCACATTTTCGTGGATTTTGGATCCCAGTACATGCCTTCTCCTTGACCTCCGCCACGACCTTCTTGCTTCGAAGTGGTCTTCGTAGAAGCAATGCACACTCTAATGCTCCCCTCAAACTTGCTGAAGACATGATCAGTACACTCCGATCACATCGCGATCGCTTTTCTTGGGATCTGGCCGATAATTGTTTGACGACATGCAGCGATCTGGTCGAGAAGTTGAGCTCTGCCGACGCTGGGAACTATTCCTTGTCTGCCGTTCCGGCTTTTCAAGAAATTGACTTCTGTAACTCATCTTTTCTGGATGAACTGCTTATCGGATTCCCAGAGCTTACAGATACGAGTGAAATTTGATCTGGCTTTGAGGTGAACTTAGGCTGTATCCTGTATACTTTTCCTTGGCTTCTCCGCCATATTATTTGTGAACTGCGTGGTTCATGGTCATACACGGCGTGTTCGGCATTCCGAAATGATGAGCTAAATGTAGTATATTAAAAGCTACCCAGTATGGCTAGTATTGAGTAACTAGCTAGATCTATTGTTACCCGAGTCAGCATAGTCAACCTTATCAAAAGTAATTTTGTCCTTTTTCTTCCTACACGAGTTATCAACTAACCCTAAACATACCCCAATCCAGCACTGTCAGATAAGCATAACTTGCCAGCAACAAATCTCGAAATTGCCGCAGATGCCACCCAACCCTGAATTAAAACATGCCCTACAGCAAATAACCCAACAATTTCGCGCCCCAATTGCCTACAGCATCGCCTACGGCTCTGGCGTCTTCCCCCAAACCACAAACAAGACCAGCTCCAATCCTCGACTCCACCAGAAACCCTCCCTGGCAATAACGCAGGCCCGAGAAGGCCACTCGCAAGATGGTCGACTTCATCTTGCGTATCTCAGGCGTTCACACCTGGCACACCATCAGCCTCCAACAACACCCTCAGCACTACCTAGTCCTCATCCGCTCACTCGGCCCGCACGCCATATCCAAATACCAGAAGAACTTCGACGCAGGAGTCTACTCCTACCCCTTCATAACCATCAACGGAACACTAATCAAGCACGGTGTCGTGAGCCTAGAGACACTACGCCAGGACCTCGTAAGCTGAGACACACTTTATCTTACGGGCCAGATACAGAAACCCGTCATAGTTTTGCAAGATGATACGGCCATTCAGGATACCGGACGTGCGAACCTTGTTTCCACGTTGAGGATAGCATTGTTATTACTTCCTAGGAAGGTTCACGGAGTTAGGGGTTTATACAGGGTTGTCATATATAGAGACCCGCGGATGGTGATCGGGGGCGATAAGCCTGGGAGGGTAAGGAGTATTGTTGGGGTTCAGATACGGGCGTTTCAGGGCTATAGGGGGGGGGGGGGGGGTTGATTGGCGTGCTAGAGGTTGTGACCGATCTTAAATTATAACGGAGGGTTAGAGCAGGATATGGATCTAGTTGTGAAGGACAATATCGTGAGGCTGTTGCCTAAGTCTTTTCAAACTAGGCTTTATCAGAGATCTGAAGCCAAATTAGGCGTTTCTCAGCGGCGGTATTGTCGGATCTCCGGAGAGATTCACGAATGTGTTCGCCATTCTGAGGATTGCTGGAGATGATGGTGGTCTGGGACGATCAAGAAGACGGGCCTTTGAGGGTAAAAGAGGAGGAAAAAAAGATATGGATAGCATGTCCTGGTTTCGATCCAGGGACCTATTTTTTGTTAGGAATCGGATTTTAATTGGCTGTTGAAAGGATAAATCGTACCTCCGGGTTATGAGCCCGGCCTGTTTATATGTTAGTTTATTGACCAAATTTTATTGGATCACGTGATCTAACTTACGCTCTTCCCCTGAGCTAACATGCTCTGATTGGTAGGAATTCAATACAAATTTTGATTTTCAAGTTTAGGTTCCTATCAAGGTCTTGGAGGATCATGGCGTAGAGCAGGGTAGTAGAGAATATGGGATCCCTCTAGATCTATATTCCAAGGCTTGAAATGTTTCATTGCTTAATAGTAATTGTTTATTGGTTGTTATTATGGCATAGGAAGGCCGAGGACGGAAAATAATAGGCAGCCATGCTTACACTGGCAGCCGGCTATTAGATGTGTAGATCATGAGGACTATATAGATAGATGTTATGCGGTATATACTTTATCTAACGGCACCAGTTCTGTTTATGTACCTTGGTTTTAGTCTGAATGAATTTTGCCTATATTATCTGGTTGGTATCTATATCGATACTACCGCTTCTACATTCTACGACCATAGACGGATAATAAAGCGGCCTGGGTGTATGGGGTTGCAAGGCCACTAGACTACTGAAGAAGAGGTTGGTGGGGGGAAGACGGGATAAATATAAAGGATCTAACTTCGAATTAACCGGCAGATAGCATCACCAAGGGAACTTTAGCTGCGTTACTGACCCTGGAAGATATACAGTACAAAGGAACGTTTCTACAAGGGATTGGTCAATGACGATCTGCAATCTGCAAACAATACACCTAGAAGCTTGAAACACTGAGACACAAATTGAAAAAGCCTTGGATGTCATACCAGAGACGCTAGGGGATACATATTGAGGTGCATTTGCGGAATTCCGTCTAACGATCGAGATATAGAAGTCAGTGCCAGCAACTTTTCATCCGCGGGGGAGAGATTGCAAGTGTTAATGAGCAGCTGAGGCTCCAGTATCTCAATAACAGGGAGCATAGTGTCTATGGCAGCAACTAGCCCGCCTGTCATGGGCTATATACCAGGATCCGAAGGACAATTCATGGGACATTGGCCTAAGTTATAGGAAATCTGGGACTCGGTTGGTTTTATACCATACTTTATAGACCCCTAGAAAACCCATTAGTGGAGGACAATGTCCATCATTTTGAGGTAAACTATAAATAAACATTATGATGATATTCCGTAATTATGGAAGCTGTTGGGCAGAACCGCTCTCTCGAAGAGTCTAACACCCATTCATTTATATGACAAGAATCCAAGGGAGACAATCACATCCTCATAAAGGTCTTGGGCGTTCATAGTGACGCTAATGTATTCGTACTGGGTGAAATTGCTCGCAGTACCAGCAAAGTCAGATGCGATAATATCATGGCCCTTCTTGAAGATACTTCATCTGGCATAGTCGTAGTGTTTGTGTAGGTGAAGGTGGAAATGCTGGCATCACAATTAACATAAGCAGGGGTTATCAGTACCGCTCGACTTCAACTGCAGTATCTCTATCGGTAGTCTTGAACGCTTCCATAAGAGTTCGCGGTCTTCCTGTCATTAACAGAGGAATCAGTTAAACAGCCGATCGTGCTACTGGATTGTAGCTTCACTACAATGATTTGAAACTTCCTTTTGCCGCCAGGAACCTTTCGCCCTGTCTATTGGTGCGCCGAGAATAGACTGAGACAATACATCATCCGGGAGGTATTGAAACTGCACTGTAGCTGTGGACAGAATTAGAGAGCATATCGTAGCATCTAGCGCTGAAAGATTGGCAAGAGGTTGACTTAGCATCACTTATACCCATCATAACGTTCGGCATGTATAAAGTCACTAGTACCCACCCCTTCATCGCTGTTTGAAATTAACTAATACAAGTCTTGTCGTAGAATTGCAGGTTTCCATGATCCATCAGCATAGCACATACTTCGGATTTTTGACGTTACTCATCTGATGTATGATCTAATATAATTTCTGGCTGCGTATCTGAGTCCCGAGCACAGCGTTTGAAAACAACTATAATATGGAGTACTTTTATCATAATTCACCAGCGAACTAGGACAGAAACACATCAGATATACTATGCCCAGAGCGGTGGCACACGTCAGAGGAACATATATTTCTTCCTAGCGTCCAATTCTGAGAAAGCAAAGTATCGATAGAATAAGATGGGGAGAATAGACATCGACAGTTTTGATGCTAGTCTTGCTCTATATCATCCAAGGTGTATGTGTCAACTGACTTATGAGTTTTTAAATTGACTGGTAAATCTCATTCTACCACAGAGGCCTATGTCGGTATTTTGAGTCAAGTTTCCATCTTTGACTATGTCTATTAGTAGCAAGAAGTCCTTTCCATACTTGCTACTGGTGTTTAGTTCCTCTAAGAAAGTCGGAAAGACGCCACAAACCTATCACCGTACCAACGATCGCCCAATCGATCGAACTCATCCCACCAAGCTCGCAAGAAACCACTCGATTCGTCGCGAATCACATATATATACATATTTCCAGTTCAAGAATTCATTCATATAGTTCCTAATATATTCCCTGTCTATTGGCGCCAACGGAATGATATCGAGATCGCACACGGCTCCATGCAGTCCGTGCGCAGACGAGATTGATCTATAAAGCTAGCGATGTGATATCAGGTTCAAACAATCACAAAACAACAGTAATTGACGTAGACAATACCTGAGAATAGTCGAGAGATATGGGGACCCCCACAATCCCTAGCATTGACAGCCGACATCTCAGCAAACAAATCTCGAGTGCGCGATCGCTCCAGGGCCCTGCAAGATGTGGCATGGAATCATGATACGTATGACCATGTCTGGGGTTATATGTGTCGCAGCATCCAGCCTCACTATTTGTACCAGAACAAACTTATTGCATAACTTCACATTACAAAACCAAGAACGACAGCCATTCCGGGCAAGCTGATGCAAGGGCAGATGTCAATGTTCTCAATGGGAGGCCTGACAAATGGCATCCAGGATATTTCCTACACATGGAATTTGTGTTTGCAGCATAACCACCGCTGACTGACATTCAATTAAATTAATTGGTTCCGATTGTGATACGGACGGTGCATGTCTGCTGCAGCGTATCTTATAACCCTTGCGAGGACCTGAAGGGGGAGAAGACGGTCAAGATCTCAATAAGCCTCCGGGTAAATGTCCGATTTGACAGCTAGTAAATTATGATACAGGCCGGTAACGCCGTTGCCTTTTTGGCTGCCTGGAGCGGATTGAAAATCGATAGCTCTTATCAATGACAGCTGTCAACGCATCCCTTGCGTACAGCAATCCTAAACGAAGGATTCACGATCTTCACCGACATGGGATTCTTAATCGAGTCGGGATCCTGTACCGAGAACGTCCGCGACTATCATTTGAACTAGTATGATCTGTCCGTCTCGTCAGAAGACCAGCGAAAAATGGCGGGTCGGCAAAAAGGAGCGAATCGGCTACCAAGCTAGAAATTCGACAGAAAAAGAAATAAATGAGAAAGAGATCTCAAGCTAACGATCGGGGTCTCTCACTAAGACGCCCAACGATCTCCTCAGAATGGATCCCCGAACCATCATGCACACTCGTATCCTTTACTGTAATTCCAAATTGCAATAACCGAAAGAAAAACAAAAGGACGAAATAAAAATTTCCTTTTTTTTTTTAATAAAAAAAAAAAAAAAAAAAAAAAAAAAAAAAAAAAAAAAAAAAAAAAAAAAAAAAAAAAAAAAAAAAAAAAAAAAAAAAAAAAAAAAAAAAAAAACCAAACAAAAAACAACGGCCCACCACCAGCTTCAGGATCCATAATCGATCCGATTCCGATAATCTCTCACCCGGCGATCGCGGCTGTGACTTCCACCCAAAGAATGATAAGCAGCTGCCTCGGGCTTCCCCACTTGGCACCGATCCAAACCCTGTAGCCTTTTGAAAATGGGTTTAGATCAACTTTTAGTTCAACAATGGTCGTGCCCACCATTACTATGTATTGGTCTAAAAAATTTCCCACAGTGGTTCTCCATTTTAGGCGTGCCTGCGACAACGGGATTTGTCGGTGGAGTTGAAGGGTGAATCAGGGGCTGTCGTTCAAATCCCGTACGTGCATTTGCATACTAGTAGTACTCCGCAAGTACATTGTTGCATTCTACATTATTTATGATGTCCTTTTCTCGGTGTTTCTTCGCAGGAATTTGGCGGACGGAATAGCGAGAAGGATAGGAGATGGTTATAATTCCGAGTAAAGGCCTTGTCGATACGTAACCATAAGACGGGAAATTAATTAATTAACTTAGAAAGCACAAGATGATATAGTGTATTTTATTGGAGTAAATTGACTACCGAGTATGGAGCCATAGGGTATGTTAATAATTTCTTTTGTCCTATAGAATTTGGCACACTACATTTAACCATACATATGACTCTGCACTAGGGGGAGAGAGTTTATGTATGCAGACCCCATCGAACCATTTCGAAAAAAGAAACTTAAAAAAAGAGAAAAGAAAAGAGAAAAGAAAAGGGAAAAGAAAAGGGAAAAGAAAAACAAAATTATTATCATATACATTTTTATTTTAAACCCCCTCGTGTTCGCGCCGCATTCCAGGTCTCATTACGGAGAACCCCCATTCTTTGTTTCTCAGGGGTGAGTCCGTGACCATGTCCGTGACCCATTATTATTATAGTGCTGATAATCGCAAGGATTATTTGCTGATGCTTCCGATCATCCCGAGACTATAGGAAGCCTAAATTCGAGATCAACTCCAATAGTTTGGAGGTTGGGTTCTTTTTTATTTTCTTTGCTTTTTCCTTTTCTTTTCTTTTTTTTTTTTTTTAGTTGGAACCGTTGAGTTCATTGTTTACAATTTACCTTTTTTTTTCATACGACATCATACATACTTACCAGACGGAGTACAAGCTAATTTGTATTCCCATCCAACCCATCAAGGAAAACAAAATTATGCATGTATGTACTAACTAGGTTAAAATTTCATGCAACAGAAGCGTGAGATCAATTCAGATAACCCTAATTAAGAGGAAGTCCTCCAGTCACAGTCCGTGTAACCATCATCCCTGCCAATCTGATACGCAGGTCTTGAATAAACTATCCCCATTATCTTTTCAGCTCCCGTGGCCCTCGTCTCGTGTTCCACGACAAATGTACGGCACTAGCAGCTACGGACGGGTTTAAACCGTAACGTTGTACAACTGACTAGTTCGAGGAATGGACCCAATTAGTTGGTTATATGTAGTACATCGACTCGGCTGGATATCTATTAAAGAAGGGGAAGCTGAGAGGAGATCTTTACGGTATGTATGTATGTATGTATGTATGTATGTATGTATGTATGTATGTATGTATGTATGTATGTATGTACGTATGGGTATGTAAGTTATACGCAGACAGGTAGTTCATCGATTGTTCTACCTCAGGTAGTAGTAGTAGCTAAACTGCAGAAGCTCGCATACAATATGTAATAGCAAAAATTTAAGAAACAAACTAGTAATATCAATAATAAAAGAAAAAGACAATAGACTACTGGAGAATCCTTACCCCCATCACCTTCCAACTCAAAGCCAAACTAAAACATGCGAACTCGTATCAAATCAAAAACCAAAGTATGATCTCTAGGGATCTACAACTCCCCGAGCACGGGGTTCTCCTTCTTAAGACGGCGATTCAAGATCTTCCCCGGCGCAAGGGGTGAAAGGCACTAAAAAGGTGCAAAGCGCTGACTATTCAACAGCGTATCCGTGTACCTGGGATCCGGTGGAGCCACGTACCAAGAGCCACAATCAGGACGTTCCCGTTGCTTCTACCGTGGACCCAAACCAAGCTTGCAAGGCCCTTAGTCAGATACGACGGCAGAGATATTGGCGCCAGAGAATTGCTGGAGGATTCCAGATGCTGTATACTATAATTACCTTGAGTAATTATGATAAACGAGATAAGTACCGGGCGGGTATACGGAGTACGGTAAACACCATGCACGTACGTATGCATCATGTACGTGTTGCATTTACACAGCCACGATGAGTTCAGCTGAGGATGGTCAAGAAAAAAAGGATGTCTCTGCATATACCCCACATATTTTTTTTCTTCGTTTGCCAGTCAGAACTTGACTCGCTTCCTAAATGGGGTTTATCTGCAGATCGATCCATCTTGCCTGAAGTCTTTTGTTTTTATTATTGTTGTTGTCATTATTAGTATTTGATTTTGGTTTAGTTTATTATTATTCTTCCTTCGTATCTTTCAAGTAAGGACTACGTGTCCTGTGCAGGATGGATGATCTTTCGGTGGTAGACCACTCGAGGGGTCAAATAATGGGACTCCGTCTGACGCGGTAGTAAGGGATGATCGTTGGAGTCATTATTCGGGGTGGTTTTGGAGTACTTGGTATGTACGCAGAACAGTCAGCTATTCAGTAGACAATGAGTCATGAAAAACATGACAGAGACTAAACACCCATAATTAACAAATAGAAGAAAAATGACCTAATTAACCAATTAAGTCCAGAACAAAAAAGCAATCGTAATCTTCCAGAACAAACGTCAACAAATGACGTCGACTTGGACCCGACCGGCCGGATCTCGGAGAAGCTCTATCCTTTTGGATCAATGGAACCTCCCAACCTAAACCAACGGACGGTTCCATTCTTGGAATATAATCAGACCATGAACTTCCTCATGGGGCAAATCCTCGGCTGGAAGGATTTGCATGGCAATGGAGCCTAGTACCGTCTAGGTTAGAGGGTGGCATGATCGAAGTGGATTTGAAATCATTGAGGTGCAAAGTGAGGCACGGATGCACGCGGCAGGCGAATTCCAAATACTCAACGTCAAGTCAAGTCTTTGAACTAATGGGGCAAAAGGAGCGGTATGTATAGTAATGGAAGTAATTAGGTGTACACGTATGTATGTATGTATCGGTAGGTAATAAGGTACATGTCTGTATTTAATTTAGGTAGGGGACCGAGAGATTAAGGACCAAGTTTAAAAAAGTGCCACCTAATTAGGTATGTCGTGGCATACATGAGTATGTACCTAATTGAAGCCTCAATATGAAAATGACAAAGGCAACGCCAAATTCAAGGAACTTTCTGGTCTCAATAAACTTCTTCTTTTGTCTCCATAATCTTGAATGAACGGGGAAACCTTCGAAGTCAAAATGCCAGATACCAACCACAGATGTTGCACTAACCGAAAGCCGTAGATGGTCAGAACGGAGAACAGATCAGAAACAACTCCTTCTCCATCGCCATCTCCGCAGATACGTATTTCTAGAAGGCATCGCATATTCCGCCTAGAATTATTGAGTGCTAAGACAAATGCCCTCCGTTACCATCTGGTGGCGTTGGAAACATAAGCCATGATCGGTTGAAGCGGATATCATGCAAGATGAGATGAGATGCGATGAGATTGAGATCAGATCCCGATCGATTTCGATAGTCGCATTGGTGCCCCTTGAATCAGCCCTTGGACCCAACTAATCCACCCCAACTAAACTCTCTAAGATTAATATCGTTCTGCTAAAGCAAAATTTTCAACCGAAAAATATGGAACCTTAAAAGCCCCAACATCAGTCGGCAAAGTCTCGCTTTCTCCGCGGGGGAAGCGATAAGGCGCTCAAGAAAAGAAAAGATCGAGGCCGATCAGGCCATCTGGATGGTCCCGTGAGCTGGTTCTAGTTTGTTCTAGGGCCGCTTGGCAGTAGCCGCCATGAACAGCCAGCCAATCAACGACTGGCAGCTGGGCATCTGAGCCTGATTATGTAAATTGTATATGCTATACTGGTTTGGGTAAGCTAAGGATTGCGGCTATACCGATGGCGAACTTGACTTTTACGCAAATCGGGCGCTGCATACTAATGTAAGATACTCTTCTTTTTTTTTTTTTATTTTCTTTTTTCGGTGTCCAAATGATTTATTTTGACCTCCCAAAAATCGTAGAGCCTCAACTCTGAGAATGACGTATGGATACCCTTCGTAAGAGGTGTCGAGATTCGCATGGCATTAGACTAGATCCAACTATTTAGTACCTAGTTAGAACTACTGGTGGTAGCGAAGGGGACCCGGATGACCATGCAACTAGTGAAGATGGTACCCATTTACCTAAAGTGGTCAATCATACTAGGAGGCAAACCATCTAAGCATCGCCGAACGCCCGGGGTTCAGACACGATGACGGCGGTGGCGGATCTACAGGGTCCTGGAAATACCGATCGATGCAAAACTAAACCCCGACTTAGACCATAATACGTCGTCCCCTCACTTACACCTTGATCCAGGGCTCACATAGGAGATGGCCATCTTCATCAGACCACCTTAAGCCAAGCCCAGCGCGTGATATTCGCCACCACTGCGGACCCATGAACTTGGTGCCACAGGTGAGAGCGAGGGAGAGATAGAGAGATCTTGGCCTACATCAGATATGTATAGTATTATTGTCCGTGACTAGTTAACTTTTCGAACAGAGACAATTCAATCAAATAAGGTTACATTAATCACTGCATCGGGTCAAGAGCCTCTGAAACCTCCCATGGAGAACATGAGTGCATAAGAAACATCATATGGCACACTGGCAGTGTAAGGCAATCCACGTAAGGTTAGGTAGGGGAAGTGGGTAACTGGGGTATAATTGTAACAGATCGCAAAACAGTAAGGGAAAACCGGCGAACGAAAGGAAATAACCAAAGGCAAGGAGAAAGAAACTGTGTACATGCTGATCCCACAGAAAACGACACAATAACCAGAACGAAAGTCTATCCAGATGCCTTTTTCCCACAACGTGCGAGGGGTATTAAAAAAGTAACTCCAACGACCAATCGGACAAGAACAGAAAAAGTCCAACATGCTCGGAACATTTCATAACCACACCTGAAAAGGAAACCCGGGGCCCAAAACAAATCGAACTGTATCATGTCCAAGGTAAATTATCAGGAATGACACCAACATAAGAGGTTTTATGATCAACGAGGAGATGGAGGCACTAAACGCCGGACACTTCTAATCCCGAAGCCTTTCTTCCGTTTTTTTTTTTTTT